GGAGTCCCCCTTCTCAGGGCAGACCCCAAGCCCAGTGTCCCCATGCCAGGGATCTCCCCAAGTCCTGGCCTTTCCAGCTATGCAGGGGTGCTTCCTATAGGCAGTGGAAGGCTAGGGCTAATGGGGCTTAGCCCCCCAAAATATGGGGCAGTGGTGGCAGTGCATAGGTGTGGGGGGGGGGTGTTTTATTTTTTTTGAGCAAGCATGTTCAGTTCAAATATTCATGACCAACCTCTGGACAGGTGACTGAAAAACCAGGACCTGAAGGTTTCCTTTTTCTCCCAGGCTTTAAGTAGAAAATGATTACTTCTTTTTTTACCTGTGTTGAGATGCCCTCCTGAATCTCAGGAAATGTATTAGCTTTTCCTGGGGACGTGAGAAGCATTTGGATTGCAGCTGATCCCTGGAGACTTCTTCACGGTTTGCTCTGTACTAAATGGATGGGATTTTCTTTCATCCCAGCAAGGCACCACTAGAACAGACATCTTTGTAATTCTGAAGATGAGGCTTGTTTATCCTTCTTCAGTGTTCGTTCACTTAATCCTGTCTGACCAGTGCTGTTACTTCTGTAGATTGTTTCTTGCACACTTGAAACAAGCAAAGCACTAAAAACAAACTTTTATTGACTGTCTCTACTCTGAGCTAAAACACTAGATTTTTTTTTTTTGGTTGCAAGCTTAGTACTGCTCCAGCATTTTGCCCCTCACCCATGCAAACTCAAGCAGGAGATGACTAAGGACTCTAGAACAGCGGCTCCCAAACTGTGGGTTGCGACCCCAAGTGGGGTTACAACATCAGCAGGTGGGGGTGGGAGGCTGTGGATTGGGATTGAAGGGTCATGCTGAGGAAATGGAAAAGTTTGGGAAGTATGGAAGAGAGGTTCATGGAGCTGTGAGAGGAGCATGCCTATTGGATCCCAGTATTTGGAGCCCATACTGAGGCAGATCTGAGTTGCTCGCACTCTGATCTAGCTATCCCAGACTTGCAGGTCTGTGGGCCAGCAGCTTGATATAGGCAAGCTAGCTGACTTTAAGAATTGTACTGCAAACCTCCACCAAAGTGACTTTTTTTTTTTCTCTAGTTGTACAATAAGATATACCTGAAAATTATAGCTAGAGTTCAGAGAATTGCACTGGGCCACTGGTAGAATATATGCCAGAGCATGGTAGCCATTTATCCTATATCTTCATGGGATCTTTCACCCGAAGGTGTTGTAAGAATTGCCATTTACTGGGAAGGACCATAAGCCTAACATCTGCTATCTTGTCTCTCACTGGCAATGTGGAGGCTGAGGAGGACAGTGACTAGGTCTATAATCCACCACTGCCCTCGAAACCTATTTTCAAGATCCACAGATTTCTGGCTGAAGAAACTTATAGCTTTTTAAGGAAAGATTTAAAAACAAACCAAGCTACTGTTTTTCTTGGGACTTAATTTTAATCACCTAGTAGCTGGAAAGCAGTTCCGAACTTCTCTCTCCCCTCCCTCACCCACTCCACCCTGCAAATAATTCTCTTCAGACTAAGGTAATTTCAGGTTTGGGAACAGCATAATGATTTCTTATAGTAGGCAATTCATGCATACCATCCTTAAAAATGAGGAAAGTCATCCTACAGTAAATTATTTCCTATCTCCCTTCTAGAGCAGGGATAGGCAACTTTTTTCCAGGTGTAGTCTGGAATAGCTCATCTCAGATTAGAGGTGGTTGGGTACTAAAACCTGGTGGCTGCTGGTATTCAGCCTTGTGGCAGCACAGGAAGAACCACTACAGCTGAACACCACCAAAACCCTATGTCTGCAGGCAGGATCTGGCCACTGGAAATTTTGAATGGAGATGCAGACCTCTCTGAATTGTAATTGTGGGTATTCGCATACTTTTAATCATAGTTGTCTTTTGCAGACCCCTTAGACATAGTCTTCAGACCCCCAGGATCTGCAGACCACAGGTTGAAAACCACTCATTAGATCTAAAATCTAAATCTAAATCGGGGGCACAAAACTCTCTTTTGGCCCTATTTTATCATTCAGTTTGTGGTATTTTCTTGTCAGGTTTCCCTGTTAACATTCCCTTGGGAAAGGGATACAAACATTGGGGCAAAGTGTTTACTAGATAGTTTAAAGCTTATCTACCAAAGTCATACAGGTCATCTAAAGTGCGATTCCATGCTGGCAGTCTTTACTACAACTGCAGTATTTATGGCAAATAATGGGGTGCTTTAAATATTATTTTTTATTTAAATCAGCAGCTTCAGATACAGATGCTCGGGGGAAGCTTAAAGAGAACAAATTCTGTTAAGGTGTGCCAGTTGCATTTCTGAAAGAGTGATGTTATGTTGTTTGAATTTTCAGTCCTTTAGGTGTACATTAGCAATTAGCATGTGATGCTGCTTGTGTAAGGATGCAAAATGAGGTTGTTCTGAGACCCACAACACTGCGTCTTCTGATTTTTGTTGTTTAAATTTAATATGCGAAGTCTTGACATGTTTACATAATATGGCTGGATATATGATGTTCAGTTGCCCTCATAGTTTTTGTCTGATTTATCTTGCTAGTTTAATTCACAGTTGGATATTTGTCCTGTCTGCTACAAAAATGCATTTTTCTTTGTTTATACTACAGAAGCTTTTAAAATATTTAATTGCTATAATCTTTTGAGTACTTGGCTAAAATTAGTATTGTTATAGCTTAACAGGTAATAAGAGAGAACTACAGACTAATAACGCTTGTTCTAACTGTATTGTTAAAATATGTTTATCTTCACAGAAAATTGAAAATCTCAAAGAAACAACTAATGTGAGTTAAACTTTTTCACCCATTATGATTTTGCATCTGAAAAATCACATCCTTCATCTTGTTTAAATCTAAAATTAAGATGTTGTTATGAAAAGACGAGACTGAAATTTCCTGCAAACTGAAATTTGTGGATATTAAAAATGATCAAATTTGGGTTTTTTGTTTTTAAGCTTTGTATTTATATTGCATTGCAATGAAATAAAATAGATAGTCATTTTCAAGTGGAAAACTGAAACCATCTGTGCCAAAGCCAATATGGAAAATGTTATTCTGGTTGAAAACGTGTTTCAATTTTGTAAACAACATTAATGAATTGTCATTGAAAAAACTATAGCTTTTGCTTAAGTGGTATTTTCTAACAGGAAAACACTCTACCAGAAAACTTCCAAGTAGCTCTGGAATCTTTTAAACAAGGAACACAAGATGTATCTTATGTTAAGTTGGATATCATAGAAAATCCACTTTCTTTGTTTCCATTTCCTTCCCCACTCTTCTCTTGGACCTCTTTTTATATGAATTGGTGATAACTGGAGACTGGAGTTGGGGGCCCGGGAGGGTCCATTTCAGTCCTGTGCTCCTTCTCTGGTTATTAGGGGTGCACTGATTTAAAGATTTTTGGGGGACCGATACCGATGACTGATTATTGACCAGCTGTATTGGCCAATACCGAGCCGATTACCGATATGCAGCCCGGCAGCGTGGAGAGCAGTGTCCAGCTGGTAAGGGGGTGGGAGCTAGGGTGGGGCTGGCGGCTTCTGGCACAGGGAGTGTGTGCCCCCAGATCTGTGTATGGGCTGAGGGTGAACTGCCTGCTGTGGGCTTGGGGCCAGGGCTGCTCCATCCTCTTCCCAATGGCTGTGCTCAGGATGGGGTGGGCATTGGCGGTGCGGGGGGTGGGGCATGGGCGCTATGGCAGATTTTGGGGTGGCTGTAGCCCCCTCCAAGTGCTGCCACCACCCATCCTGGCCTGAGCGCAGCCTCTGGGAAGAGGCTTGAGCAGCCCCAGCCCTGAGCATGCAGCAGGCAACCCACCCTTCCCTGTGTAGAAATTCAGGGGGCACATTTCTTCCTTGTGCTTCCCCTGGGGGTCCAAGCAGCTGGTGGGAACTGCCCCCCCCCACACCCTCTGGCTGAACCCCATCCTGTGTCCTGCCCTGTCCCAGCCCTGCTCCCTCCGTCACTAGGGGCCTTGATCTGCCCCCCATGCACCTTCCCTCCCCCACACTCCTTACCCCCAACTGACTTACCAGCTGGACTGTTGCTCTCTAAGCTGCCGGGCTGCCTGGCCACATGTGTGCTGCGGCTGTGCACATGCACACAGCATTTATTGACGACATTATCTGCCACATCAGCCAAAAAAGCTGATTGCTGATAATGTAAATTTTCCTTTTATTGGTGCTGATACGATATGGACCAATGTATCAGTGCACCTCTACTTGTTCCTCTAGCCTTTCTAATACTTGCTTCAGAAATTATTACTTGATTGTTCCTCCTTCTAATTTTATTTTTATTCTCGGTTGGTCCATTCTTGGTATCCTCTGTTTTTCCTCTTGCACTTGCCACAAATTACTTAAGTCTTTCATGATTGGGTCTTGTCACTTGAACTTAGGCCAAATCTGTGGGATTTTACTCCCTTACACTCTGCCCTGTCTACTTCCATCACTTCCCACTACTAACAGTGTTGTCACTTTCTGTTGCTTTTCTTGCCATCACATCAATCCCATAGTAACCTCTCTGTTAGAGGCAGCATCTTTCTTCTCATCCCCCTCCATCCTGTGTAATAACTATTTTAATGTTCCTTTTCCTCCCCCTCTTCATGTTTAGCTCCCCCTCTGGTACTGCTTTCCTATTGTTGTATCTTTAATCTACTCAAGTTTATAAGAGCTTACGTTATTTCTGTCTGTCGGGTTTCCTCACCTTGCCCCCACCTCCCAAATTATGCATTTCTATAGATTCTTCTTCAGAACTTGATCTGTTTGTAGTTTCTTGAAGGCTTGAAATTGGCTTCCATTTTTCTTCCCTTTTCTTTTATTCCTGCTCTGTCAGTGTTTTACTGTAAGCTATATTGCAGTTGTTTTGCATGGTTTTTTTAACAGTAAATTTGTGTCCCTTTAACTCATTAGCTATACTCTTATAATGAAAAGTTCTAGTGTCAATACATTGTTGATAATATTGTGTATGTACTGTGTTTGTGGTAGGAAGATACTGAATGTTTTTGTTCCTTCTCCTAGAGCATGGTAGAATCAATAAAACACTGCATTGTGTTGCTACAGATTGCTAAAGTAAGTATACTGTTAGCTATTTTGAACTTGGAAGGGAAGCTCACAAAAGTTGTGTGTAGTTTTGAAATGGTCTAAAATATTCTTGTACACTGGTTTCATACTGGTAGTTACTGTGTACGTAACTTGGTAATTTAGGTTAAATCCAACAACTTCAGTTACTCTAGCCTAGAGGTGGGCAATTATTTTGGGTGGAGGGCTGCTTACTGAGTTTTGGCAGATAAATATTAATTTTCTAAATTTTTGGGGGGGCTCCACGGGCTGGATAGAATGGCCTGGCAGGCCGCATCTGGCCCGTGGACCACATTTTTCCCACCCCTGCTCTAGCCTTTGTGCTTTTAGTCAGTTGGTGCTAATTATGGAATTATAAACATCTTTTGTTTCTTTTTAGATGCAAAAGTTTTATTTCATAACTTAAGCAAGTTCTATCGTAAGAGGGTGGTTTATTTTGTTGTAAGAAAAAAGCATTTCCCTAAATATGGAAATAATAAAACCTTGCTCTTTGCTTCATGAAGCTTGCATTGCACTGTTTCTGGGTTGATTCTCAGTACTTTTTTGTTTAGTTTGGTTTTTTAGTGGAAGTGGCAGTGTAGTTTTAATTAAGGAGGTATGTTCAAACGTTCTCCTGAGTACAGATTTCCTAACTGGTGTTGGAATCCTAGTGGTGACTTTTTTTTTTGTTCAGGTGTCTGCCGTTGTTAACTTGTTGAAAAAGCTGATGGCCAGTCCAGTAGGAGTGGCTTGCTGTAAATGATCAATCAGTTATTAGTCTATTACTGTACCTGTAACAACCCCAGCTTTTTTTCCTGTAGGCTCAGTGTATTAACTTGCCGCTTCACCAGCTCCCGAGCTGCAGTCCCAGGCTACTGATTGTGATGCTGCTTTGAACTTACTACTTAGCTGCATACGTGTTCTTTGTTCCTTATTCTTGGGACAGAGAACAAAGTCAACAGAAAAGTCTTCCTTCAGCCTCTTATTTTCTTGAAAGGGCATTTGTGGGTAATTTAAGTGAACGTTTAGGTTTTGCAAAACTAGTCTTTAAGTTTAGTAGCATTTTAAAAATACAAGAATAGTTTTTTTGTTTCGAATTAAGCAACTTGCAGTGTTTGCAGTTGGGTTAATGCAGCCTTACTTGCCATGCAGATGATCCTAAAAGTAAGTGCAAGTAACAATGAAACCAACCCCTTTTCTTTTTTTATGTTCTTGAATGAAGTATATAGTGGCAGAAGAGAAAATTGTGATTTACTTTTTAATACCGGGAGAGAGACTGGTATTCACATCACTTGCCAAATTATGCCTTAGACCTGTAGAAGGAATGTTGTAGAGGTGTGTTTTGGTCTGTTTTTACATTATACTTTGGCCTTGAATTTACAATAATTGTCTACTACATTGTCTTATGGTAAGCATATATCACTTCTAAATCCCCATTCTGCAAACATTTGAGGCTGTTCTCAAGTATATTATGTATGATGGATGTTTTAACAACCAAATTATGCTTACCTTTCATGAAGCTTTTGGATGTTTTTAAAAAAAAAAAAAAAATTTTGGTGTAGAATAGAGCTGATATTTCATCTTCAAATGTTCTGAACTAGTGCTGCTTCTGGGCTTGATTTTAGGTGTCAAGTGCATCCAGCAGTATTGGGCAAATGAGTAGAATTGATGCACCTGAAGCCTCTTGGGATCACAGCTTTTGTGTTTAAAATTAATCCCAATGAATGGGGTCAGTCAGAGTCAATCTGATCTCATGCTTGCAGTTTTTTTATACGCAAGCATGAGATCAGATTTTACATAGTACTGTTGTCTTTGAGGTGGCCCAAAGCACTTTCAGAATGAGATAAATGTCACTGAAATGGGCATATGCTGTACTGCAGTCATAAATATACCACAATGGAAAAGAGGACAAAATAAACCTTTGCCCTTTTGTGCGAATGACCATTGTTATTGTCAGCCTCTTACTACTGTATAGTGCGTGTGTAATGTAGCTCTATGGCTAGTGTTCCAGCAACAACAGATACGTTTACATTTTACAGGGAAGCAGAGGTGTTCAATTTAATAAAAACATGTTCTTGATGACTGAAAACTTAGACTTTTTATATCTTTTTAGCAGTGTCTGCTTAGGCTTGTCATTTTTTTTGCCATCCTTGTAATGATGTTAGTTATGCAAGTTGAAGCAATTTAGCAAGTTTCAGAATAACAGCAACCCATATTGAATCTTGATTTAACCAATGTATCAATGTATTTTAGTTTTTAGATGCACAGTTGCTTGACTTGCCATTTGCTGTCTCCTAAGATTATGTTTATAAATGAGTCCTTCATATTAATGTGTTGGTTTTTAAAACAAAAACTGAAACTAAGCTCAGTGGGAACAAGTGACCTGTACTGCTCCACTGTCAGGTTTGAAACCAGACATCTTTTCAGAGATGTAACAGGAAGATGAATGTCAAATAATATATGTTGAAATTCAGGCAGCCTATTGCTGAATAAAACTATAAGCTATAAATAATAAATACGATATTGTGACAGTTACTATGACTTGACATTAAAAATCAGAACTAAATTTATCTGGTTGGCTTGACTGATACTAGACTATTTAGCAGGTAAATCACTAATGCCACACCCAACAATTGTGTTTTTCCTTGCTTGTTACAGGTAACATTTTCAAAAACTCCAAAGTGTTACTTAAATGTTCGTTATGTGAGACTTTTTAGAAAACTCATACCGTGTTCAGATGTCAGTAGACTCATAACAGTGTGCTTGTCCTCTACACAGTTAAAGCATAAATTTATTTTTCAGTGCAGAAGGACGTGTGGATAAGGTCTTAAGATAAAGAAATAATATGTAGGACCAGTTTTCTGAATTGGTTAGTTACTAATAGAGTGTTCCTGAGGAAACCTAGTACATGTAATTTTCACGTAACATGACTGATTAATGATAAAAGATTCATGTGTTGATATTTTTAACATTTTTCCTTAAGGACCAAAATAATGAGGAGAAGCACGCAGATGGACTGATAGTAAGTTTTAAATCTAAACTTTTATCTCCCTTTATTTCGGCAGAACATGTGAACAGAGACCTGAATTTCCACTCACTTACAAAATACTTTCTCCTTTCTCTTATTCACTGCTTCAGATGTCTTTACAAAAAAACCCCTGTTGATATTTTTTCCTTTGACCATCCATCATAGCCTCTAAAGGAAAAAATAATAATTTTATAACGGTTCTGCTAATTTAAATGGCAACATTATGAATGTATTTTTTTACATTGACTTTAAATATCTAGTGTGAACTGGTGTTATGGGAAATGATTGGGAAATAATTTGTGGTGAAATCTGACATTTTATACATAGTTGTTCATGGGCTATAGGAAGCTGGGTTTCTCTCTTCCAGTATTCTGCATCCGAGATACAGCAGCGGAAAGAAAATGTCACGTTTATTTAATCCTGATCTCATTTTTTTAAATAACTTATTTTACTTTACTTTGGTTTTAGTAGTACATGAGATCTACTGGTTTTCATTCTGTTTTTAGTAATTAACAGCAGACTGATTACACTATAGCTTGACTTCCTAAAATACGGAGTTTATTTTAATCACAGCCAACACTAATTTCACAATCCTAATATCTTACTTCCTTGGAACCTACTCTCCATGTGTGTTTAACATGGAAAAAATTCCAATTCTCAAGCAACAGGCATTCTGCTAACAGTTAAACTTGCTGCAGCAGCAGTACACAACAATAAGAAAAAATGTAACTTAAGGGTTGTTAATACAGCAGCAGAACACACCAGGCCTCTGTGCCTACATTTTCTTCTGTTCTTTCCAAATTGATGGCTTCTATAGCATGTCCTGAAGGTCTGTCTACAGTTTGGGACTATATCTGATGAAGACTGGCATGTGAATTAAGAGCCATGAGACCCTCGCAAGTAATTCTATCTGTTCCTTCTCTGCCTGTTCCAAGAGTAAAAGGGGTCAGGCTTATAGTGCTGTCTACCATCTGTCCCTGGAGGCTTCAGCATCAGCTGTGAAACTTCCAAAACTTAGTTTTAGCTGTTTTAAAAGTATATATCATTTGTGACTCAGCATAGAGGCAACCCCTTGTTGGCATGCACAAGGTCTGATGAGCTTTAATACATTTCCAGAACTCTTGATCCCTTATTTGGAATTGAACTCATGACCATAAAGTAGATGCAGAACAAAACTGATTGCTCTGGTTGTTAAGGTAAATATTTGTCATCTGGTAGTTGGGAAGATGCAGTGTTAAAAACTCAAATTAAGATATTGCCTACAAAAATCCTTGCCCCTCTTGCATATTTCTTCAGCTGTTGTGGCTACAGCACCATTCCAACTTTTTCCCTTAAATTTTTAAGCGCTCATATGGGATAAAATGATTATACTGAAGCTTGAGACTTTCCTCATGGGCAAAACAACAAAGCATGTTGGCCTGCTTCTCCTCTTGGCATGGAGAGAGCTCATTTTTGGGTAAGGAAGTATATCAGTTATTATGCTCATTTACTAGTTAATGATTCTGGAGCTGAGTGCTAGTTATCCAGGAAAGGAAACGTGTTGACCTGATCTTCAGAGTGAGAGTGTATGTACAGACTTTGTTTAATAAGTATTGTAAGTATAGCATAAAAAGAAATGCATGCAGCTGTGCAGGGGCAAATCTTTTTCACTTCTATAGGGAAAACGAGTCGAATGTTGCAGAACAGGTTATACTTTACGGAGATTAGACTATGTAATTGTACATAACAGCATGGTCTCTCAGAGGCAAAGAATTGTTTAGAGACCCAGACAGTTGGTTTCCAGCTGTACACCTCTGTGCTAAAACCTCCATGCAGGCATAACTCGGAGCACGGGTAGTCATGGGTCAGCACATGTTACAAGTGGAACGGGCAGCCTTTGTATGTGGCCCATGGCAGATTGGCGAGGGGGCAGGCAGCACAACACTGTCCTTTTAACTGTTGTTGAGGCAAATTAAAAAAAAAAAAAAAAGCGGGGGGGTGTTAAGTTGTGTTCAGGCTTGAACTTAATCTGATGATTTCAGGTATGGAAAAATACTCTATTTCTGCTTAAGTTTCACTCTTGTTTTCCATCAAGTACAACATTCCTATCAAACCAGCAGTTTTATAGGGTAGTGAATATAGAGGTAGCCTCGAAACTAACATGTCTCATGAAGTACCTTAAGATGTGAACAAATATAACTTGAAACCATTTTAAAATGAGAGGGCAACTTAGCACTCAGAAGCCAGAATCAGACACTATAGCAGGCAGATATAAGTGAGCTACATCCAGTGCAACTTCATACAGGATTAAGCTGTGGTAGTTTTTTTTCCACTTAACCATAGAGGTAAATGTATAATGGATCAGAACATCTTATACTGCTGTGACTTAATACCAGTATAACCTTTATATCTGCTTTTGTATCTGCCCTAAACTGTACCTGCCTCAGACAGTTGATCCAGGGAGATGGTACCTGTGTTAATTTTTACCTATATGTGTAAGCATTCCTTTGGTAAAGTCCTACCCATGATCATGCATTATCATTTTTTCTGTACTTACCCATCCATCTTTGTAAGTAGGCAGAGACACCATTAAGTGATTGTTTCTCAATCTCTTGAACTCTTTGGGATAAATTTTATAGTGTTAACAGTTTTTTACTTCATTGTTTATCCCATCTAGTTTCTGTGATCTGTCAAAATGGTGAACAATGTATCACAGCAGAGTGGAAGTAACACTGTGACTGACTCAAAATGATTTTCCTTTATACTGACCAGTAATATCTAGTTATTGGTTGAATGCATTGTTTCTGTTTGTGCCACTGATTGGTAAATAATATCTGTTGTTAATGTAACACATACACATGCCAATGGTAATACTTCTGCAGTTGTGTGTATGCAGTCAATGGGATTAAATGAAGAGGGATTCTCAGGCTAATAGATGAATTTGAAAATATAACTCCCATAAACAGTTTTAACAATGGATATTTCTGAAAGACATTACAAAGGACATTGTTACTAAATCCTGTCTATATTCATTTTAAACTCCATAATCTCTGCATAGCTATAAAACTTAAATGCCTACACAAAAGCCTTGTCTCATGAACACTAACATTTTTTTTAAACAATTTTGAACATTATAATGGCACATTGTACTTCCATTCAGATTAAGGCTATTGCAGACCTATTGCTGAGTTTTAAAATCTTGGCTCTTTCAAAACAAGTGGTGTTGGCATATGATTCAGATTTTCCATGTAGGTGTGCAATTTTGTATACTCAATTTTTTTCGAAGAAAAAAGCTCCGTTTGCTGAGTTAGCAAATATTGAGTGTTCTGGTCAGGTTTGCTTGAAAATTAGCATGTATGCAGCTCTAGGGGAGGGAGTTTTTGTAACAGTCAGGATATTTCATGTTGACTGTTCAGTATGGGGTGATTAGCTATTGAAAGAGGACAGACACTGGAGTGACTGGATCAGTTTTTCTGCTTCCATGGTGTAGTCTCTTGAAAGTTCATGTTGCAGGTTTTAATTTTGATACGGCTGGTTTGAATGGGGAACTGAATTGAATATTGAATTGATTGCTATTGAGAAATTGTAAACTAGATGGAGGGAAGAGAAGGGGGAAGATTAAAAGAAGTTGAATTTTTCAAAAACATATGTTTTTCCATATTACAATTAACTGCCCTGCCCACATACCCCCTCAGTACATTGGAGGGCTGATGCATTGATTTCAAAACTTACTTAAGTCACAGTACCAGTTTGTACCTGCAGTGCTAAGAAATATGGATAATTGTCATATCTTGAATTCAGTGACATTAACATGACTACTAAACATAACTAATGCTCCTTGAACGTCTTTTAAATTTAGATGGGTAAAAAAGGGAGGAAGGGAAGGGATGAATTCTTTAGAGGAGGTTGGGAGAGAAGCCAATGCTATAGTTGACATGGATCTAAACACAAAAAGAAATAACCCTTATAGGGATATATAACATCAAGATGATAGTTGATTAGCTTGGAAGCTTATTTAACTTTTTTAAAATTGGTTTCAAAACAAAATGAGTGATACAAAGTTTATGCTAGGTTTAAACCTACACATAGTAAGGTAAAGGTAAACTTAGGTTGCTTGCTTGGTTAAAAATGGGAATAGAATAGTTAAAACAGAAAATCAAATAAAGGCAAATAAGCATCAAAAACTGCTATAAGCAGCAGAAGTAGAAGCATGCTGTTGTTTCTTATCCTTAGTATTTCCTATCCTCAGCAGCAAGGTTCCCTCTAAGGTACGTGCGTGTGCAGCCATGCACAACTAAAAGTGTGGCTGCGCACAGCCTTTTCAAGGCCCGCACCAGGAGAGGAGCTGAAGCTCCTAGGCGAGGTTGGGGCGGGAGCCTGGCACGGGCTCCGCTGGCTCTGGGTAAGTGCTTCACTCCCCTGCATCAGGGCCGGGGAGTGGAGCACTTCCTTGGAGCCAGTGGAGCCCGCGCCAGATCCCTTCCCCAGCCTCCATCCCTG